AAACTTCCCAGACTCCTAATAAAATCAGTATTTCTGTTTCTTTAGAAGGTAAGCCCTGCAGGATGGAAGTAGACACGGGATCTGCACTTTCAATCATCTCCTGGGAAACCCTAAAGAAGATTCATCCCAGATTTGCGAAGAAGAAGCTGCAGAGATGCCACCTGACACTGCGGGACTACCAGGGCAAGAACATCCCTGTCCTCGGGAAAGGCAAGTTTTTAGTTCAATTCCAACCCTTTAAAGGCCATTTGCCTTTGGTGGTTGTTAATGGTGCCCTCCCCAGTCTGTTGGGGCTAGATTGGTTCCCCTCCCTCGGCCTTAGTGTAACTGGGATCCATGCTGTCTCAACTTCTGACGTAGACGCCCTATTCTCAGATTACTCTGATGTTTTTAGCAGCGAGCTGGGTTGTTATTCTGGCACCCCCATCTCCTTCTCTGTGGACCCCCAGGCAATCCCTCTTCGCCTTAAGCCACGCAGAGTGCCTTTCGCCATCCGTCCAAAGTTGGATTTAGAATTAGATAAGTTACTTAAGCAAGGGGTGTTAGAACCAACTGACTTTGCCAAGTGGGAGACCCCCATAGTCACCCCACTCAAGAAGGATGGCAGTTTAAGAATCTGCGCAGACTATAAGACCACCCTCAATCGTTATCTACAGGTCAGCGCCTACCCTGTCCCCGTTATTCAACACCTGTTACACACCTTCGAACCCGGCACCATCTTTGCCAAATTAGATATGTCCCAGGCATACCAGCAGTTCCCTGTGGATGATCAGACAGCTGAGTTACAAACCATAGTCACTCATAGAGGGGCATTCAAGTGCAAATGCCTCCAATTCGGCGTAAGTGTAGCCCCGGGTATATTCCAATCCCTCATGGAAAGGATCCTCCAAGGTCTCCCAGGGGTTGTCCCTTACTTCGATGACATTTTAGTCTCAGCAATTGACAGACCCCAGCTCATACAGAGAGTCAGAGCAGTCCTAGAGAAGTTTAGGCAGCATGGCCTCAAACTTAAAAGGGAGAAGTGCGCCATCGCCACTAGACAAGTGGACTTTCTGGGGTATAGGATAGATGCCTCTGGCATTCACCCAGTCAAATCCAAAGTAAAGGCCATCCATGAGGCGCCTACACCAACTAACAAGACGGAGCTCCAAGCCTTTCTGGGGCTACTAAACTTTTACGCCTCATTTCTCCCGCACAAAGCGTCTATTGCTGAACCCTTACACAGACTGTTAGACAAAGAATCCCCCTGGCATTGGGGACCCAAGGAAGCCCATGCCTTCAAGTCAGTCAAATCCTTACTCACATCTGATGCAGTTTTAATCCAATTTGATCAAAGACTTCCCCTGGTCCTAGCTGCTGATGCATCCCCCTTTGGGATTGGGGCTGTTCTGAGCCACAGGCTTCCCAACGGTTCCGAGGCACCAATCGCTTTCTTCTCTAGGACCTTCTCTACTGCAGAAAGGAACTACAGCCAAATTGATAAGGAGGCCTTGGCTGCAGTAGCTGCAGTGAAAAAGTTTCATGAATTTTTGTTTGGACACCATTTTGAACTTATAACTGACCACAAACCACTTCTGGGGCTGTTATCAGGGGATAAGCAAACCCCACAGGTACTATCACCTAGAATGACCAGGTGGACTTTGTTCCTGGCCGCTTATTCATTCAAGTTGGTGCATCGCCCTGGAAAAAACTTGAGTCACGCCGATGCCCTTAGTCGCTGCCCCCTACCAGTCCCAGTTGAAGACTCAGCACCTGTTCATGCCATTTTTGAAGTTAACGAACTTAAATTGCCGGTTACAGCCGAGGACATTGCTGCGCACTCAAAAAAAGACAGAATAATTGCCCAAGTTATGGACTGGGTGGGAAGGGGGTGGCCGGAAACACAATACACCGCTGACGTTGCTCCTTTCAAAACCCGTAAGCAGGAATTGTCGAAACTACAAGGATGTCTGCTGTGGGGGACAAGGGTAGTCATTCCAGCCACTCTTCGTGTACCCATCCTGAAGGTACTTCACGAGGGCCACCCGGGCATCGTAAGGATGAAGGCTCTGGCCCGCAGCTATGTTTGGTGGCCCGGCATGGATGCCCAAATCTCCAACTGGGTAAGCTCATGCCAACCTTGCCAAGAAACCAGGGCTGCCCCACCAGCAGCCACGCCTACCAAGTGGGAGAGTGCTAGTGGTCCTTGGTCTCGCCTGCACATCGACCTGGCTGGACCAGTACATGGCAGGACCTTCTTGGTTGTAGTAGACTCTTATTCCAAGTGGATAGACTTGGCCCTACTACCCTCTACAACCACTCAAGCAATTGTTAAGGCTCTGACCCGTTTCTTCATTACCCATGGACTCCCTGACACACTGGTGTCTGACAATGGCCCCCAGTTCACGTCATGTGAGTTTAGCATGTACGTTGCCAACTTGGGCATCAGACACATCCTTACAGCCCCCTTTCACCCTGCTAGCAACGGGATGGCTGAGAGGGCAGTCAGGTCAGCGAAAGAGGCACTTGCCAGGTTTGGCCAGGAAAACTGGCATTCCAAACTGTCACGTTACCTCCTGAGCCAGCATACGACGCCATGCACCGCTACAAATAAATCCCCTGCCGAACTCTTGATGGGGAGACGCCTTAGGACCACCCTGGACAGGTTGCACCCCCACTACTGCCCAGACACCCCTTTAGGATCTGACAGTTTGGTCAGGGACTTTGCCTTGCACGACCTGGTGTACGCCAGGAATTATGCAGGGGATCCCCTGTGGGTACCAGGTCAAGTTGTGTCAGTCACAGGTCCTAGATCCTACAGGGTCCTCCTGGAAGATGGACGCCTGTGGCGTAGACACGTGGACCAGCTCCGAAGGCGATGGAGAAGCACAACTGATACCAACCCAACCCAACCTCCTAGCACCGGGAACTCCCTGCCGGTACCAGCCTACCCAGACGGAAGCTCCCTGCAGGATCCGAGCTACCCCATCGACCAGGAGACTTTGCTGGAGGGTCCGAGCTGTCAACAAGGGACACCGAGCCAACAGCCAAGCGAACCAGCCTGCCGGCCGGACCAAGCAACTCCCCAAGGTCAGCCCGAACATGGGGGCTTACCTAATTTACAGAGCACCACACCAGACCGAACCCACTTCCCAACAACCTCCGAGACGATGCCTGGGGGCGAGGACTTGACGCCAGCCAGCAGCTTGCCCGGGTTGCGACGTTCTGGCCGCCAGCGCAGACAACCAACTTATCTGAAGGACTACGCATGCTCCCAGCTGGGGGAAAGGAGTGTTATGTCTTTGGAACTGGTTGGAGTCCCCAACCAGGTCCGCTGTTTGAGCGGGAGCACCATCCGCTCCCATTGGCTGGCACCGTTTGACAGCCGGCTATAAAAGGCGGCTGTCGAGCAGTGCCAGCCCCATTGCCGCCAGCTAGTCTGCCTAGTGAGAAGGCAGACGCGGCAACCCTTTATTCATTGTAATAAAGCCTTTTACATTGCACTCTGGTTCAGCCTCGTTCCTCCGCCGCCCCATAACAGTATCTATTAAGCTTTTTCAACCAATCTATTTGGCAAAACAGGAAGGACAACAATACTAGAGAATCCAATTTCATCTTGGGATAGTTTTGCACCCTCCTCCCCAAGTATGTGGATGGCATATTGATTCAGCAGTGTGGGAAAGCCATTACAATAATGAGATGTTTTGCTCAATCAAGATTTCAACAAAACATGATGAAACTTTGAAGTGGTTGTTGGAAGAAAAATCCTTCTGGGTTCAGATCCAAGTGGGGAAAAAGACACTGGAAACATGGAGGCTGTTTGGAAGGTTTAATGGTGGACAGGAACCCATGGACTGGAGCTCCAGAGTGAAAAAGGATGATCACATGCTTCAGTGTGAAGGAAGAGATCAAGAAAAAAAGGGCTGAGGTACTGACAGTGCCTGAGTTTTATACCCTCTACTGGGATTTGAATTGGAGCTTGTATTCTCCCCCCACCCCACCCCCATGGGGCCATGCAGGGGCAATTCAGTAGGCTGTCCTGAGTTCCAGGCTTGGTTGAGCCTTGCTGGATGATTTATGCCCTTAAGAGGGCTTTTGACAATTGCTATAGCTTTATCTGGAGATTTTTGTTATGTATAGTATTCTGGCCCAGGCCTTAATGGCCCATCCATTAACAAAGGTGGGGGTGAGTTTCTGCTTCTTAGGTGAGTTTCTGCTTCTGAGTTTCTACTCTTTTTAGAGGAAATATTCTGCCTTTTTAATAGTTCCTAGGCTATTTCAATTTTCTAGGAGAGGGGTGAGTGCTAACTTCCTACATGGTGTCCCAGACCAAAGTTGCTGCACTCTACAAATTACTTTGTACATCTTCAAGGATCTGCATGTGTGCATATGTTCCATAAAATCAAGGGTTTCCTGAGTTTTGTGGCCTTGGAGATGTCATGACAGTTCATGACAGATTACTTTCCATACTGTGATGCAGTTTCACTCCAGATTTTAACATTAGAGAAAAATCTTTACCTTCCATGATTTCTAGTGTAATGGTTTTAAAATTATTTCATGTATAATAATTAACCCACTATCATTTTGTCTTCAGACAAAAGTTTAATAAGACAAGATGCTGAATATTATAAGAAATTTACAACAATCCTCGTTCTGGCTTTTATTTTTGGATAGGAAGGGCTTCCTTAAGTGCATACATTATTCTTGGTTGCAGTTATTTATGCATTAAACTCAACTTTTCTCTGCAGTTTTAAAACAATGGAACAAAGATATATGACTCCTTTTTATTCCAATCCATAGTATCTCTACTAGAGACTATTATTACAGCACAACTTCAAGGTCACCTTTATAAGATTTCTGACATTTAAAATAAAATAGAGAGCCCTGCAGACATCTGAGGAGGTCTTACAATGCAATTTCCATAGATAAGTATAGTAAAGCTTTAGCAGACTACTTCTCTTGGAGAATAACTACAGCAAGGCGGAGTCACATTGTCACGTAACAATTCCTCAGTCGAATGCGCGAGCGCCGTCTTTTCGAGACTCCCGAAACTGAAGCGGTGGGCCTATGCCGCTGGCGTTAGGGGCTACATGCGCCATAACTGCTGGCCTGCTGGGGGCGCTGGCTGCTTCCTCAGCAAAGCTGGCTTTGGGCGATGATTACTTGAAGATTGATTGCCAAGCCGTCCTCGGGGAAATCGCCGGAGAATGTGTGTGGGTAAGAGGCCGACTTTGCTGCGGAAAAAGCTATTGGCGCCATGATTCTTTTCCACTGGGGGCTGCGAGACCTTTAGTCCGGCAGCAGCTTGGAAGGCCGAATGGCCTACGAGGAAAAGATGCAGGCCCGCATCAGAGAAATTCGTGGGTCTAATAAATGTAGCATATTTTAAGGGATCCGAAGCAAGATCGGGCAGATTTTACCCTCCCCTCAAATTCTTTTGCAGGAAGGAAAATAGCCCATACTTCTGCCTTGGAACTTTTGGGGGCTGATATACAAAAGCTTATACAAGACTCCTTTGTGTGGTTTATATATCTCTCTTCCCATTTTTATTATTTTCACAAATAACTCAAGGCAGCAAACATGTCCATCACAGCTCCCTCCTCCTATTTTCCTCACAGCAATAATCTTGTGGGGAAGGTTGGGCTGAGAGAGAACGCCTATTTCGAAATCACCCAATGAATGTCTGGCTGAGGATTCCATTTGAACTGGTTCTTGTTCGTGTAATCCTTCAAAAATAAAATAGAATATTTTTAGTTTACGGTTGAAATGAGGGATCTGCCTCTTTTACAGAAAACAAATATAAATAAAGAGGCTATTAAGCAGAAGTCACAAAGGTGACTTCTACCGTACTGTATGATTCTCTGTCATCAGAAGGAAGCCTTGCTGTGCTAAACTTACACTGTGTTTTGATAGTATCTGCATTCTGGAAATTCTCTGACCTTTTCTAGACAATGATTGTGATACGAACTTAATTTTTTTTAATACGCCTGAGTGTGTTTGTGTGAATGATACCGTTTTTGTGCATAAGGTTAACATACTGTGGCAATCATTGGCAACGGAATCCAATCTGATGTATTTATTAAACTATTCATGATGTGTTTCTCATTGGAATTGATTGTTAAACTGGTTTTTTTAAAAAAAACAGTTTTATTGATTTTTAAAAACAAACAAAACAAACAAAACATAAAAACATCAGCTCTCTTCCATACATATATACAAACAGTGTGTCGGTTGGTTCATCAGTTTTGTGCATTCATTTCGTAGCCTCAATTACAGTTACATTACATAATAACTCGTATTATCAATCCAAACTTTTATCTCCTAGTATCACTATTAGAAAATCATTTGACTATAATTTTATTCATTCATGCTTTATGAGATAACTATAATTTAGGTAGTTTATTCTATAACAAGTCATATAATCATACCAAATCTATCCTTAAAACATTTATAGATATGATGTCAAATAACAAAAGGAAAAGAAAAAGCAAAGATATTCCTTGTTATCTAACATTCTAAATATTCTATTATTATATTTTATCATCCAACCATTGATAGAAAAGGTCCCAAATTTTATAGAATTGTTTATCCTCTTGCTCTCTAACTTCAAATGTCAATCTACTCATCTCAGCACATTCCAATATCTTCTTAATAATTTCTTCCTGCAATGGTATTTTCTCATTTTTCCAATTTTTAGCAAATACAATCCTAGCCGCTGTTAATACATTTACAATCAGACATTTCAAGTCTTTACTGTATGTATCTGGTAAGATTCCCAATTAAAAAAACTCCGGTTTCAGATCTATGTGTTTCTTTGTCATTTTTTCCAACCACATGCAGATTTTAGTCCAATGTTTTCTAGCATCCTCACAAGTCCACCACATATGGTAATATGAGCCAGGTATCTGATGACATTTCCAGCATTTTTCGGATTTATTCTTGAACATTCTTGCTATCCTTGTCAGGGGAAAGTGCCACCTGTAAAACATCTTATACAAATTTTCTTTATAAGCTGTTGACATTGTCATTTTATAATTTTGCGACCATAGTTTTTGCCATTTCTCTAAATCAATCCCATATCCAAAATTCTTCCCCCAAACAATCATAGTTTCTTTACCTTGTTCTTCCTCTAGTTTAATTCCCAGTAAATAACCATATAATTTTTTAATCACCTTTTCATCAGTACCTGTCAAAATCTTATCTAGATCAGTCTGTTTATCATAAAATCCCTCTGTTTTAAAATCTTCATCATATCTTGAGTGTATTTGCACATATGAAAACCAATTTATCTTTATACCTTGTTCCTCTAGATTTTGTATCAATTTAAGTTCACCCTTTTCATCCAATATTTCCCCATATCTAACTGTTTGTTCCTTCTTATAAATTATAGGATAGGAAAATGCTTCAATAGTCGATAACCAAACTGGAATTTTCAAATAACATTGTCTTTTTATCTTTTCCCAATTTAACCACAAAGACTCCCGTATATAATGTCTTCTAAAGTAACCCTGTGTTTTAGTTCCCTTATACCATAAAAAAGCGTGCCAACCCAACAGCAAATCATGACCTTCTAATGTCAACAATCTAGTCTTTCTTAATGTTATCCATTCCTTGACCCACATCAAGTTTGCAGCTTGGTAGTACAAGGCAGGCCAAAACCTCCTCTAATTCTAGCATCTTGCAATAGCTTTAGCTTTATTCTCGCTTTCTTACCTTGCCATATATACTTCAGCACAATTTTATTTAAGTCTTCAGAATAGTCTTTTCCAAGCCTAATTGGTATTGTTTGAAACAAATATAAGATTCTGGGTAAAATATTCATCTTGATTGTTGAAATTCTCCCTATTAATGACAATTGTAAGTTTTCCCATTTCTTCAAATCTAAGGCTATCTGTTGTTTAAGTTTAATATAATTATTCTCTTTTAATGTACTACATCTTGATGTCAAGTATATCCCCCAATACTTGACCTTGTTCGTGACTTGGGTTTTCAACAGGTCTGCCAGTTCTTCTCTTTGTCTTAGTGGCATGTTCTTTGTCAAGATCTTTGTTTTATCTTTATTTATTTTCAGACCAGCCACCTCGCCATATGTCTCTATCTTTTCCAATAGCTTTGGAGCTATTTCTAAAGGTCTTCCAAAATAAAGCCTAAGTCATCTGCAAAGGCTTGCAATTTGAATTCTTCCTTTTTAATTTTCATTCCTTTTATGCTTTTATCATCTCTAATATTTCTATTCAACACTTCCAAGGTCAATACAAATAGCAAAGGAGATAGGGGACATCCTTGTCTTGTGCCTTTTCTTATATTAATAAAGTCTGTAAGTTCTCCCTCCATCATTACCTTTGCCGTTTGCTTATGATATATGGCTTCTATTGCTTGAATAAATTTTCTGGCAAAACCCATCTGTTCCAGTAGTAGTAACATAAATCTCCAGTTCACATTATCAAATGCCTTTTGAGCATCTAGGAATATCAAAGCCATTTGCTTTTCAGGATGTGCCTCATAGTATTCCAAAGTATCCAGGATTATTCTCATATTGTCTCTAATTTGTCTCTTTGGTAGAAATCCATTTTAGTCTGGATGAATGAAATTATTTAAATATTTTTTAAGTCTTTCTGCTAAAATTGAAGCAAAGATTTTATAGTCTGCATTTAATAAAGAATTAGGTCTATAGTTCTTAATTTGCAGTGGATCAGCCTCTTCTTTTGGAATAAGTGTAATATAAGCCTCTGACCATGTTTTGGGTATCATCTTCTTTGACATAGCTTCATTCTAACAATGGAATGCTCAATGATTCTTGTAGTGTTTTATAGAATTCTGCCGGAAGCCCATCTGGACCTGGTGCTTTCCCATTATTTTGTTTCTTAAGTGCTTCAGTTAATTCCATCATTGTTATATTGCTTTCTAGCATTTCTTCAGTCTCTTTAGATATCTTAGGTAGGTTAGCATTCTGTAAATACTGTTTGACTTTTTCCTCATCAATATTCTCTTGCTTATATAGTTGCCCATAGAAGTCTCGAAAGGGAGCCTCTAGTCTAAAAAAAATAAAGAAATCAAGAAGGAGAATAAGAAAGTAAATATATATATATATATATATATAAACACTTCTGGTTTGTCGGCTTCGGTGACAGCAGGGATTCGCCTCTCTGCGATCCCTGCTGTGCTAGCCGCCTTGGTGCCTCCGATCCTGACGGATTTGGAGGCTAAGGCTGCCCTGTTGGGGCAGCTGAAGAAAGGGGGGATCCGGACGGGGGTGAGGGGCGTCGCAACCCCCCCCAGCCGGCAATAACCCCCTTCTCTCAAGACGGTGCAGTGGTGGTCTTTTATGGCCACCATAAAGAAGCCGGCAACTGGACAAAGAATGCGCAGGAGGAAGAAGGAGTTTTTTTTTTTAAAGAAAGTTTTTTCTTGGTTGAACTGGGACCTTAAGGACATATTTAACACCTGGGAAAGTAATGACTTGGAAGCTATAATGTTCCCGATTGATGTTTTCAGCTGCGAAGAAAAGTGACGAAAAGGGGAAGTCACTCTCCCTCCCTTATGGAATTAACAAATGGACAAGGGAAACTAGCCTTTTGGTAGAAGGTAAAACCTAAACTCCTTTGTTATAAGTGGGAAGGGAGAGGCTTGGGAAAACAAATCTTTACTCTAAGATTTTGCTGGAGGAGATGCCTTGAAGATAAAGAGAATAGAAATTAATTCTAAGAAAGATTTAAAGCACAGATTGGACGTTTCTTCTTTCCCTAATTTGACTTCACTCCTAGAAGAGAAACTGTAAAAAGAAGAAGCTTGTACTCTGCCTGGACTGTTTGATGACTGTGGGACTTTGGGACTTTTGGGAACTGTTTTAAGTTTGGAAATAATTGATTGGCTTAACAATAAGAAGAGGATACAGAAAGAGAAGAAGAAACAGTTCAAAATGGCTCTATCTCTTGATGAATTAAAAAAACAATATTTAAAAATAAAGAAAGAAGGCAAAGATGTTATGGGAGAAGCCCTTTGTTTTCTAGATATGGCGCTTGTCATGTGTCAGCAAATTAAACAACAGCTGGAAGAAGCCGAGGAAGAAGAAGCCATTTTTAATGAACTAAACGGTGTGACTAAGAAAGAAAGGAGAAAGAGAGGAACGAAAAGGAAGGACTTAAGAAATAAAAAAATGTTCATGAAAGAGAAAAAGAAGATGCAAAAACAACAGAATGCTAGAAAGCAAAAGGAAA